GTCTTTTCTGCTGCACATCCACTAGGCTCTACACTTCCTAGTCTCTCTTGCAGCTAGCTGTGGCCCTGTGCTAATGAACTGCGAGCAGGAATGGTGGACACCACTTTCAGGCAAGAGATAAACAAACCTCCCACATAAGATCCTCCATGTTCTTGCCTTTCTAGTTGCCTCATATGGGTAAGCCCAGTTAACTAGGAAGCCATGAGATGGTGGAGACATAAGACGGAACAAACCAGGGTCTCTGAATCATTGCTTGGAAGAGAGTCATCTTGGAAGAGAAGCTCTCTCCCATCACGGTGACACCAGACAAAGCCATGTCTAGGATGTAATCAGGGAAAGAAAGGTATTGAGAGTGAGGATGATGTTAAAAGAAACAAAGAGGACAAAATCGTGAAATCAGAGGTTACCAAAGTAACCTGCCCCTGAGATAATCAGGTTTATCTAATAAAGCAGTTAGCAGCAACCCAGGAAAAAGAAGTTGCTTCTGTTTGTATACTGAGCCCTGACTGATAACAGTCACACCAAAGTGAAAGTCAGAGTAGGTCACCAGTAGTACTGATGTAAAAAACATTATTTAGGGTTGGAGGTATAGTTCAGTAGTAGAGAGCTTGCCTAGCATATACAAGGCCCTGATCCCAGTATCACACACACACAAAAGCATATTTTACATATATATATATATATATATGTAACTATACTTTTATTTACTTTTTAAATATATATGTATACTTTAAATATATATATATATAAACCATACAGAAGTTGGCAGGATCCAACTAAAAAGAAATGTGGTACTTATTTGTTAATCGTTTCACAAGGTATATGAAATTAAAGTTGTACATTTTGAATATATACCATTTTATTTGTTGTTTCCAATAAAACTTAAGGAAAAAAAAGAAGAGATCTGAGAGACTTGGAGTCACAATTTTCTGTATGATTTTACAGGAATCAGATTCCTTAAATCGCATATAATTCTGGGCTCTGTCCATCATTCCATCCCATCATCAGCCACCTTCCACATCCAAGCCACATGGAGGACCTCAAATTCACCAGGGCTTTCTTTAATAATCCGTAGAGGAGTGGACAGCTACGCAACTGTCCTCACAGTGGGACTCCTGGCTCTAAGAGATCCAGAGGGGACCTAAGAAAAAGCCCTCCCATTCGGTGGACTGAATGCCATCTTTCTTGATTCCAAGGGCTGTTCCCCCTGAGTGAGTTCCAGGAACAGATGCAGATCTCAGGGACACATGGGCACATTTCATGCTACAGATGCAGGGCCTGACAACTGAAGTGACAACTCAAATAGCATCTCTCGCCCATGAGCCAGACCAGCTGGCTGGGAACGTGCCTTAGAAATGTGCCTGCCTTTTATTTTCTGATGTGTCACGACTCACCCTTTTGTTGTTCTGGAACATTCTGGAGCACAAGAGGCTAATCACCCTTCATGGTGTGATATCTGTTGAAAATGAATGAAGGCTCAGACCCAAAACATCCCTTGTCATCCCAAAGGCTGACTGCCTTCACCCAACCCTCCTTTATCAGGCTTTCCATTTTTAGTAGTTCACAAATCAAGAAGAGGAGAAAAACACACTATCAAAGTTAGTGATGTAAACAAGTCTTAAAAGGTAAATATACTTCACTAAACGTAGCATACAAAATAAGTATTCACCCCTGGAGTGAAGACCGATTCTCACGTTGATGACAGAAAAGCAAGTAGGAAAACATATGCATCTAGTTTAGTCTTATCCATAAGGCTGGATGAAAGCCAGCCTTCATCTAGACTGAAGACTCACTACTTGCAAGAACTATTATAGGGGGAAAGGTAAACTCCAATCCCAGTTATCTTTGTGGTCTTTTCAACTCAATGATTCCTCTGGCCTAAAATTTGAAATGAAAAACAAAGATGACTCTGTGAAGGGTAGAGCATGTGCCGGGAAATTTACTGGAAACTTTATATACTTAATATCATTTAATTCAGCCAACAGGACTCTGAGCTGGGTTTTTGTATTCCGCTGGACAGAAAAAGACATTGAACCTGAGCAAAGTGACAAGCACCTACCCAAAGCCATATCTCTTGTTGCAGTAGAAGGACTGAAATCCAGTTTTGCTTGACTCTGAGTCCTAGGCTCACAGCAATTCTGTGCATCATTAACTAGTATCGGGACTCACCTGGGTAAGCATGCCAAAGGCACAGGGTAGAGATATGGAGAAAAACCTTGATAGTAAGGGAATATTCATGCTTTGAAGTTGCCAAATAGGTATGATTGATGCCAAGAGATAGACCCCTCCCCTTCATGTAATTCCAGGTTACTGGGGAACCCCTAGGGGTCATCACAGCTTTGTACATCCCTCTATCCAACCCCCAAAAAACTAATTTTAAAATGCAGTGAACCCCAAGAACTGCTGGCAATGCCCAATTACACTTTAGGTAAGCTGAAGTCAGACCCCAAAGGCTACCCACTGTGTTATTCCATGTCCATGACATTCTGTAAAACCATAACTGCTGTGTAGGTATAGAACACACATAAGTGTTTTATCAGAGGCTGGAGGGTGGGGTAGGAGTTGACTGCAAAAAGGTGTAAGAGAAGTTTTTAGGTATGTTGGAAATGTTTTATTTCTTAATTGTGGTAGACCTCACATGAGTATACAGCTGTCAAAATCCATTGAATTGTACACTTAAAATTGGTAAATTTTACCATATGTCAATGGCACCTCAATAAAGCTTATTTAAATAGATGTACATATATATGTATATATATACATATATATATGTATATATTTCAAATAGGTACTATCTGATAAATCTTGAACTAGACTTCCCACTGCATAGCTGCCTTGCAGTAAACCCATAAGCCTGAATCCCTCCGTTGTTCGACCTCCCCAGTGGGGACATTTCCTGCAGACAGCCACTGCAGGCTGATACACCTTGTCCAGTGAGAGGGAGGTTCTGAAGGAATTTTCAGGAAATGCTTCCGCAGCAGTTCAACTGAGAAGCTGATTGCTGGGGTTACCTTGGCTTCCTGCCTCCTTCTCCAATCTTCAGAGGTCATACTGTGTATTTCATAGAAACACTCATCTGGAAAAGTGCCTTAAGCCAGATTAGATATAACATCACTGTTTTTGACCTATATCTCACATGGCATACATGTCTTTTCATATCTTGTTGCATTTTGAAGGCCATACCTGTCTCCATGCTCAACCCTGAAAAGACAGGAGAAAAATCTTGCAAAAAGTATTAACTATTGTAGCTTTCAGCTGCCTCAAAAAGCTTGGCATGGATTTAAAAAGTAAGAATAACTACATTAGCCTAGTCTGTTTTTCCATTTCTGCGTCACTTGTCCCCCACACATTTTATTTGGCACAGCAGCTTATGTTCCTGATGCAGCAACTTAGTCCTTTTGTTTTCCATCCAAGCCCTCTTATGTGAGGAAAATCTGGAGGCTTCTGACCCATGTTAATAGCTCAATTGGAAAAGAAACCTAAGCCACACAAATACTGTCTAGCATTGGAAATAATCAGATCAGCCATGCAAATTAATAAGTACATAAGGTCATATCCCAAAAGATAATATAGGGCAGTCTCGTAGGGCTGCCAGAAAGAATGGATTTTAAAGGGAAATAAAAACTAAAAATCCAGTCCTTTTTGGATTCTTTTAAAAGTTACAGATATTATCTGTTGTTGTGTAGAAGCTCCTGGCAACAGCTGTTTGGGAGGTAGCCATTCTTTATACCTCACAGCAAGATGTGTGATGCCCTGTTACAAGTTTGTGTGTGTGGTGGTGGGATAGTGGTGGGGGGTAATAAAAAAAACAAAGACAACAAAAGATGATGTTTTTCAAAACACATTTTAACCATTTATTTTAAAAGGATGAGTACAGCATTTAAGGAGCTGATTTTCTAAGACTAGGACTCGAATATCAATGGAAAATATCCAAGAGCAGATGATAAAGCCACCCAAAAATATAGAAGCACCTGCATCTGCAAGGTTTTCAACTCTGCACTGACTTACCAGGTACTTGAAATAGTCTTTCTACATCTCTTCCTTAAAAAAAATTAAATTTTCATTTTCTTACAATTTCCAGGCTTAAAGACAAAAAAGTACATGAAACAATTGAAATGATTTAATATAAGTCTCATAGATGCGCCAAGGTCTTTATTATATAACCATCAATGCTATCATTTTATCACTGTCATTTGATTTTTTAAAATTTTACACCCATGTAAATAAAAGTTCATGGATGAAAAAAAAAGAAAATTCTTTATCTTCTACCTGTTTTATAGAAAACTAGTTAATTTGTTGTTGTTGTTGTTTACCAAAATCAAGCAAGCAGTAGTAAAGTTGTTAGTTAAGTTTGGTTCTCATCTTCTGAGCTGCCTTTGGAATTACATTACAAGGGAGAGGGTTCTATATAGGACTCTTACATACGTGGACAATAAAAGAAAAGAAAAAACAAGTGCTTCGTAAGAAAATCCTTTGAGGATTTATTTGCAGAGAATAATTTAATGCATAAAAGATTCTCTCTCCAGAAAACTCACAGCACTTTACACATGTAATATAACATGCCAAATTTACTTTTCTGGTATGTTCAGTGAGTCCATCATTCCAGGAACTAGTAAGAAAAACAGAGATTTGGTCCCTAAAGCACCTTATGATGTTAATCTGTCTAATAAAGCCCCAGATTCTTTGCAGGCATGAGAGAATTAGTACAGCCACATGAATGAGGACTGGTCATTGAGCAAATTTTCCTGCATAAAGAATCCCCAGAATCCACACTGAGATCTCTTTAAGCTCCTTAATTTCCAGATATCCCCTCACTTAAGTTTCATTAGACTCATTGTAGCCCTCAACCTCTGTGAAACCCACCCTAGAAAGTCTTTATTTCAGTTGGGAAACTCATCCTAAGAGGCAGATGGCTCCCGTGAGAACTCACCAAATCAAGACAAATATCCCAGACCTCTAGGGTGGTGGACATATCCCTACTGAATAGCACTACGAAAGAAATACACTTTGAGATTCCCTGCAGATACCTAAGTAAGTGGAGAAGACCATTTTCAATAAAGATCGTATTTCTCTTTCACCCTAACAGCTTGACAGTTTACTGAGCTTCTGGCAGGAAGAAAAGTTTATAATCGAGGAGGTAACCATCATTATAGACGTAAAGTTTTTGGTCAAAAGGGTGATAGTTAATGCTCTGCACTCTTTCCTGCATCTTACCCATTGTGATGGCTAGGTTGCCTTCTCTCCCCGTGTTTGTGTCATAGTAGTAAAAAATCTCTTCCGTTCTGGTGTTCAAAGTACGGGTGGCATAAAGAACCCCACAAACCATGAAGGCATTAGAAACAGATGGTCTGTACTGCTTGGTAACCCAAGTGTTTAGCACCTCAAGTGAGGTGTCATTGAGTTTACTAATCACTATGTTACCAGTGCTGGCTTCAGTTGCATAAATCACCCATAGTCCATGTTCATCCACAGCAAGGTCAATATCCTGCCAAGCCACATTAGCATATGAAAAACGGTTAGTATAGGCAGCATTAGGGAGAGTTTGAGTAACTTCAACCCTGTTGTTGGTCAGATTAACTTTGGCAATGTTCCTGCTGTTTTGCCAGTTCACATACATGTTCTTGTTGTAAACTGTTATACCACTGCCTTGACCATAGGTAATTCGATATTCTTGAGCCTGTGTGTACAATAGCAAATCATCCAGTGTGTTGTAAAGTCTGTAATATTCCAATAGCCTCCCATCTGTATTCAAAGGTGCCACCCAATACAATGTTTTCTCTGGATGCTTGGGAGAGTAATCCCGTCCCCAGGCACCGTACTTATAGGAAAACCCTCTCCAATTGAGCTGGACCACAGATGGTTTGCTGATGTTCACCACACCACCATGACTACAGCTCCCTGTACAAACAAGAAAAATAGAAAAGGCATTCTTAGAGAAAATGAATGATAAGCAGTTTAGTATCTTAAGAACCAAAGATATCCATCAATATTTTTCCTGCCAAGGTTCAATGACAACAGTGGCTCTGATGGAGAAGAGCCAAAACTCCTTTTGGTTTCAGTCTCAATGCAAACCCACCATTAGATCTGCAGAGAACTACCTTCTGTTTCCATGGATGGGCTTTCAGTCTGGGAAATGAGGTTAATGAAACTGTCAAACACCATATGTAAAAATTTAGAGGGCCCAAAAAGAGAACAGAGGAGACTTAGTGAATTTGATATAGTTCCTTCTACTAAAAAGGATTTTGCAAATATTATCTGATTTCATTTTTCTCATAGAGAAATCAAAATCATCCCCCACATCTTCCCCCTATTTCTGTAAATCCAGAAGGAGCTATTCACCGGAGTCAGCTCTAGGGGGAATTGGGATGAGCCTGAATAAGTCTCCATGCCCTTCCTCATTCTGCCTTTACTGGGACCCCAATATCTACTGGGTATCAATCCTCCTTAAAAATAACCTCAGAAGAGGAAGCTTTAAGTGCAGTATTTTATAGATCCAGAAAGATGGTCCTATTACAGTGGAATTTTAGCCTTAAGAAGGCTTGAAGTTATTTTAGGGCAGCATTGCCTGCTCTGTGCCCAGTGCCAGTCCCATAAATCATTTGGTGACCATCTTGCTGCAGAGTTACGAGGTGAGTCTTGTTTGTACCATATGCTACTGTGCCATAGAATGACAGGCAAGTATTTCATCCTTGCCATTCTGACACAGTCATTGTCACAATGTATACCATCAAGTGGGACCATATGCACTGGTCCATTGAATCTACATTCCCAGTAACTCCTGGGTAAATGACTCAGCCTGGGCAACTGGCTCTTCACACTGCACTCCCTCTGAAATGCTTGCCAATCTGAAACATTTATGAGCTATAAAAAATGAAATAAAATTCCTCCAATATTTTTATAATAACTATCCAAAGAGTTGAACTCATATTTTCTGGGATCTTAACAAATTCTCTTAAAAAAAAAAACTGGTGAAATAGTTTATTGGTTAACAAAGAAAATTCAACTTCAAGTACATTCAAGGTTATTTTTCCCTCACCCTGCTGCCCAGAGCAGAGCAGGTAAAGGAAGCAAACAGCAGAACCTGAATCACTGGATCTAGCTTTAAATGCTGGGAGGGAATTAGGGAGCCATGGAGGGTACATGAGTGAGTACAAATCAAAAACAGAGCTCCAAAGAATTGCCTGAGATTAGCACAGTAGGGAGAAGAGGAACAAAGCTTTGTCCTTGATCCTCTGCCTCAGCCCAATATGGAAAATCTACTCCTTTCCTTGCTAAAAGTTTCCCTCTCTACCCTCCTCACTCTAGGACTGCTCAGAGGTAAAAGTATTACTAGAAATCTTGCTTTTATTTTTCCATTCTGCTGGGAAGTTTTGGTCCAAGAATTAAATATGTGCTCCTTAACTGCTGTCATAAATCCACAGTTGGTGGGAAAGTCAGCCAACCATACAACAGGCAGAGAAATGAAGCCACTCTGTACCCAACCTCATAATTTTGCATATCATTAAGCAGAACATGGTCACAGGTTTATTTTAATAATGCATGCACCATTTCATAAATTAAAAAAGCAATGTGTGTTCAGCCAGGAGACTGCTTTCCACCAAAGAAATAATAAATAATATTATAAATTATTATTTCTTCTCCTAAAAGTGATCTCTCAGATGAATGCTTGTTTACTTTTGTTTATGAAACAATGCATGAATTATTAAAATAAAGTTAGTGGTGTGTTCAGTTTAATGATAACAAAAACTGCTCCAGTTTCCATATGCTACCTACTGGATTTTCTAGTTCAAATATCTTCCTGAGAATTCATTTATTCAACTACATTTCACCAGGAGGAAATGAAAGAAAACTGTGTTTTTTAACTTTCAGGTTGGAAGACATAAGAGTTGTTTCCTTCATTGAACTTTGCCTTTCTGGAAAGAAAATATCCCAAACCAATAGTAGCAAAATATTTCAGGAAAATTTATGATGCATAGAACTTATTCAAGCATTATCATGGGGTTAATAATAAATCATTCAGTCTCCAGATGTGAACGTCTTTAGATAAAAAGGAACACAAAGAAACTTCTCAAAAGTATGTATGTATTATTATTACTACTACTATAATGATAATCCTGTTATTAGTACAGTAGTATTCTATTGGCAATAGTCTTATTACTAATGATTAATAATAATGACTCATCATTTTCTAAGTTAACCAGAAAATTAAAATTGTACCTGGTATAAATCTCAAAACTGAATGAAAGATCAATTTCTTTTCCACACTTTTCAACCATTCCTAAATACTCTCCTGTCCATTTTGTTATTTTCCCCACCCACACACACCTTGTATCCTCTATCCACTTCGGACATCTTTAGGGCTCTGACTATAGTCAAAAGGAAGTGGAAATTGGGTCAAGAACTAAGCATTGTTGTCACTGCTACTGATGTGACTACATAGTGGCAGACCAATGAAAAGACTATGGCAAACTTCCCCAACTCCTGGCAACAAACCAACATGGAAACAATACTGAAACTGACAGCCATCCTAGTGCCCATTGGTCGTCAGAGTCTCCATCCTCTCCACCCCATCTACTCTGAGCTTCTAGCCACCCTTCCTTATCTCACACCCCTCCAACAGCCCCCACCCCCTTCTTAGGCTAGGACTGAAGTTTGATTTCAGGGCTTCATGTTTGCAAAGCAGGCATTCTACTGCTTGATCTTGAGCCATACCTTCAGTCCATTTTTGCACTGATTGTTTTGAAGGTAGGGTCTTGTGAACTACTTGCCTAAGCTAGCCTCCAATCACAGTCATCTGGATCTCAGTCTACCAAGTAGCTAGAAATACAGGCATGAGCCCCTGATGCCTGGCCCAGACCCTTTCTTCATGTCAAGGCCTTAGATACACTCCTTTCCCTTCTTACCATATTTCCTATCCCAACTTCACCCTGACCTTTTGGCAACAACCCATTGCCCAGACATTATCTAAGAATTATGATGCACCAGCGAATCATTTTGCAATTTCTGGTGGAAGAGAACACAGCACACAACTGTCAAGAGCAAAATTACCCTTTACTCCATAAGCAAAGATGATTGGTGTTAATCAGGTAGGTCCACTGTTGGAACTGTCTTGTCACTCCACAAATCACAAGTGTACCTCTCTATTAGGGTGGCTATGAAAGGCAGCCTGGTGCAGTGACAATATTATCAGATAAGTTCTAACCCAAATAGTAACTCAAGTATTTAGCAGTATTCCTGAGTATGTTACTTCACCTTCTGAGCCTTAGTTTACTTATGTTAAAGAAAAATAATAGCTACTTTGCAAAACTGTTGAAAAGAATAAAGACAAGGCTTGTAAATAACTTAATAAATGGCAACTCTTATCATTATAATCACATTCAGTTACAGGTAGACATTTACATGACTGTCTCCCTTCCTGGATAGTGGCTCCTGGAGGTTCCTTTATCCATCCTGGTTAGCACAGTACCCAGAATAGGGACAGCTCCACAGTGGCACCAAATTATATTTGTGGAATAAAGGAACAAAAGACTAATCACATCACCTAAATTCAACTTGCTTATTTACAAAACAGAAGCCTGTTACATGTCTGATTTTTCAACTAGCCTGATATTTACTCTACAGAACATAATGAGAGGAACTCTCTACACAGTTGTAGAATTTGTCAGCAATCTCTTCACCATGCAATTCATGAGATACTGCCCTGGGATTCTGAAAATATCCAGGGAAGCTACAGACACTTGAAAATATTCTTAGTTGGCTTTCTTTATACTGTCATGATAAGTAGTGTTTTCTTTTGAAGCCACACATTTTAGGCCCACAGGGGAAACTTAATCTTGTGTCCATCAATGTACTCTCTCACCTGGACTGAACTAACATCATTTGAACCAAAAGGAGAGAGAATATGATTGACTTAGAAGAATTAAGCAATTAAAATGATCATAATCATAAAATAATTAAGACTAAATTGACTCTGAATTATTTGACATTTTCTGTTCAATACTTCTCTAAGCTTAGGGTTTTAGCAGGTCACCTTATGCCTTTCATGTCATTCAATCACCAGCCATTTGCTGAGCATCCACTATGCATAGCAGTCTAACATCCCCAAGCAAAATGGTCACTCTCATCACATTTTCCAATATATAGTCATTTAGATTCAGAGCAAAAACAGAGAGAGTGAAGTCAGTTGTTATAAGGAAAGAAAGTTAATGAGTAGAAGGCCAATTATTTTAAATTAGAAAATTCTATGAAATGAAGCAGGAAAGGATGCTATTTGCAGGGAAAAGAAGTATAAAATGCATTTTATTGAACCCAAAACACATGTACTAGTTCTAAGTTCAAGCTGACCACAGGGCTACCAAACTGCAGCCACAAGGGAGGAGCCCAGAGAGTGCAGAATTACTTTATAGCTTACACAGGCACACAGTCTTTTTTTGTTCTGTGCAACTCTGCAGTGCAAAAAGCAGACAGGCCAGATTTTAAAGTCCCATAATAGCGAGTAACTTTAATTAAAGTCTCCACGGGCTCACAACTTTGTGGTGCCTGGGGACTTTCCAATTCTGCATTATCAACCAATCCAAACAGAAAGAGAGCAAGTGAAAGAAATTGATTTTAAAACACGACAAAAAATCAGTTTAATATAAATATCATAAATATAAGATGAACAAAGCTGGAGGAGGGCCAAGTGGCTTGGCAGAGATCCAGGTACAGTCAAGGTTGTGGGAAAGTAAGTGGAAATCTGGGTTCAATTTGCTTAAACAACACAGCTGAGCTGAGACAGTTCACAGAAGTCTAAATGTGAGATCTAGGGGAAAATTCTGGAGAAAAATTCTAACAAAAACAATTCACAGATGTACTTGTTTTTCTCCTTAGAAACTAAGCAGTGTATTTTCTCCCCCACCACTGTCTTTGAATGACTGATGCCTGACACTGTGAGATGTCAGAGAGTCCTGAGATGACCAAGGAGTGAAGACCCTTGCATTTTAGCTTCAGCTCTGATACTACCTACATGAGGGCGTCAGGAAAAGCAGCATCCTTACCACCCAAGTCCCTTCCTCTGAGACATGAAGGGGCTCCATTAGGTGTCCCTACATGTTCCTTCTTCATTTAAAATTTCCTTATTGTAAGGAATGCAGAGAAAACCAAAAAATTGTTCAGAAATATTTGCTGGGGGAGGAAGACACTTGCTCAGTAATCTTCAGTGAGTCCTCATGGTCCAACAGAACCAGCTCTCATTTCCAATGTATGTTTTATACCACTGATTCCATACCAAAGAGGACAGTTAATAGGTTTTGCCCTAAACATCCTCTGTATGTCAGACTAGGACAGATCCTCAACTGTAGAAGAAGGGTAAGTGTCTCCTGAACAAGACCATGAGGCTTATAACTATGGCCATATCTAATTGAAGCCTTAAAGAAATCAGCTATCCTGGTAAGGATACGGAAACTCACAGTCTGAAAGGAAACAGGTTGTGAGGACTAGAATTGATAAAAACAACAAAGGCTGTATGATGTGATGAAAAGAGACAGTCCCCATTCTGGCGGAGATGCTCAGGACCTGAGGAGAAGTTCCCTGTGACATAGTGCCTCTAAAGAACAGAGCTGAATACTGAATGCTGGGGCTGAGGGCTGGAAGGATGTACTTCGCTGCACAGGATTTGGCCCTGCTTCTCTTACAGCAAGGTTTTCACATCAGTTGTCATCATTACTAACAATATCCATTGGTGGTGTATGGGTGCTGATTACAGAGCCCTGAGTTTCCTGGGAGTAACCCTATAAAGCAGGTACTGTTATTCTCCCATTTTACAAATGAGATTTAAGATCTTTTCTCTGCTCTTGAAGCCTCCACTCCACTGCCTGTATTCATGGATATACTTACAAAGTGCCTCCTTCTGTTCTGTACTTAATTCCCTAAGCACTGAAGAAGGCATGAGATGCCAGCCTTCCCTCCAGGAACTGACAATTCTGGAGGGGCAGAAAGACACATTCACAAGGATCACAGCTCGTGGAGCTATCACTTTCACTGTGTCTTCCCTGACACAGAATCCCAAGACATAGAGGAAGAATAGAGGAATAGAGGAAAAAGAGAGGACAGGAGAAGGGATGGCAGGAGAATCAAAGCTCAAACCCAGTTCATTATATAAATGAGACAATGCACAGAAAAATGGAAGCCACACATAGATTCCACGCCCACACACCTGCTCCAGCTCTGCTGCCACAATAGAGAGGGTTTTCTCATTAGTAAACGCAAAGAGAATATTTGTAGCTCGTGGGTTTTGTTTTAAATCAACTCATTGTGTTTGTCCTGTGAATCCTACAATATATTAGTAGGGTAGGGTGGAGGGATTTAAAACATGGAAGAGTAAAACTCAGAAGGCAAAAATCCTACCCTTCCTCCACCACTGCAATCCAAAATCTCTTCCCCACCCTTTTCACAGCTCACTATAGGGTAAATTTCAAGTGGTAAAAATATGGTATGCTTACCTGGAGCAGGAGGAGGGGGACCCAGAGGAGCAAGTTCACTTTTAGAGTCCTCACATTCTTTCAGCTTTGTCTTCAGAGCCAAGATTTCTTTGCGAATGGAAAGGACATTGTTTTTGTCTAGTGTTTCCAGCTTCTCTACCAGGAGAGTCATATTCCTTATCTAAGGAAATAAAAATTCAGAGTGACTTTATATTATTGTGCAATTTCTTTCATAAACATTCTGGGGCTGAATATGTCATTTAGTGAAACATTGCTACAGAATACACCAGAGATTCTTCTGAATGGTTTCATTTGGAAGAATACATTTTATGGTTTAGCGTGAATGCCTGTCACATCTCAGGCAGATGTGTGTGACAAGAACAAAATGGCAAAAAATTTAACAGCTTTAATAATACAGCCAAAACTCATTTTAAGCATCTACAAATGTCCATTAAAGTTCATTTCTAATAACCTTCCCCTATAAACTCATGTTTACTAGTGTTGTATTATAATTAAGTTTCTAATGAATGGTGAGGGCCAGAGAAAACTTAAATTCTAAAATATGTAACTAGAATTGCCAATTATAGGCCATGTCATGACCATGCTAGCAAATTCATGCTGATATAAATGACACAACCATAATATTCATGTGATAGTCTTTATGCTCACATCTTAAAAGCCTTCACTACAACATACAAGAAATTTCTTAAAAGAGGTTTCCTGTATGTGGAGAATTCCAAGATGAATCAAGGATTAGGTGGTCATTCAAAAACAGAAGCAGGTCTAACCTGCTCACCATCAGGTAAATTGTGAATTTCTAGTCCTATGTGGATAAATCCAAAGCAGAGAAGACACCTGATCTAGCGTGTCTATGAACAATCGTTCAGATTTATGTCACCTCCTTTTAAAGAACTTGAAAAGGCCATTTGGATCTGGAGCTGGATTGTGACCATTAGACAACACCTGCTCCTCAGTCAACATGCTTCCAATGTGTTTAATTTATTAGACAAAAAGCAGACATCTATCCAAAACAGAATATGCAATATGCTACATTGTCATGGGAGTAACAGAATTAGAATTAGAGAGAGAGAGGTCCATATCCAATTCCTAGTATTTGTTCATAGACACTGAAGAGCATTTATCACTTGTATTCTGAGAAATGAGTTCCCTCCTTACCTCCACTTCCAGCTGATCAACAATTTCTGTGCTTCCAATGAAATTCTCCTTCAGTTTTATGACCAGTTTGTGCATCTCCTTCACTTCTATCTTGATCAGCTCAAAGTCCAGTTCAGTGTAAGAAATGCTATTCTTTTCCATGAACTCTACTCGGACAGTTAGGTTTAAGAGTTTCTTTTCATATACACTGATTATCTGGACATATTCCTTCACCTAAAGGGAGAGCAAAAAGTTCAAGTCAATTCCCAGAGCAAATAGCATTCCTCCACTACCAAATCCTTGATGCCTATTTAGTTCCTGTCAGCCATCGGGGTGTTTTGGGTAATAAATGGATCAAAAGTAGATTTTTTTAAATCTATCCAACTGAAAACTAGAAATTAACATATTACTGTAGTTGGGACAGACTTTGTACTTACCTACAATATGTTTAACTTATTAACATCTGTACTAAAAATAATTTGCCCCAGAATCATCTTTCACTTGTATATTCCAATCTCTATTTTAATGCTGGTTTGAATCAGTCTCTTGCCATCCCTCCTCTCAATGCATTTGCTCTAAATCAGAATTTTTCCACCTCAGAACTATTGACCTTATAGAAGAGAGGTAGGTCTCTCTCTTGAGGAGTGTCAGGCTGTGTATTGTAGGGTATTCCACTGATCTGACTGTCAGTAGTACCCTCCCACTCCCTAGCTGTGAGAACCAAAAATGTCTCTGTACATTTCTAAATGTTCTCTGAGAACCAAATCACCACTGCCATCACCTTCTTGGTATTTAGAACCATTGCTCTAGATCTAAGTATTTTCTAGAAGAGGAAGAATTCTTTCTATGATGATCATATGCTATGAGTTCTGAGCCCCTCTGCCTTTTACAAAGTGGTACAAAGACCCAACTTACTACATGATCTGTGAGTGTATGTGCAACTGTAAAGTGCACATTTCATTAAATGTGTTCACATTTATTCCAAGAACTGATTATTGCAATCAGACCTTTAAATTACGCATTTGTTGCATATATTTGAATGTCTGATCATTAAGTTAAAATACTTCCAAAAATTCCCTTGGTGGTTTGGTGTATAATTGGAAACTCCAAGTGGATATTTCAATAAACAGTCAGTGCTACTTTCTGTATCTGATCTCTCAAAGAAATGGCATGGCTTTTTAAAGTCTTGCTCATTAAAAGTTGCTGGTTTTACATTCTTTTAAAAAATTTTGAACATAAGTGATACTTCTCCCTAAACTGCACTAATGTTGAAGAGCTGATCCACAGTGCCTAGATAAATTCAAAGCCAGATGTTGACCTCTAATCCTTCTAATACCAAAGGCAGTAGGATTCTGTCATTATAGCCCTTCCACTTAACCCCACTGTGCAAATTAGAGTAGACTCATAGGCCAGAGACCTAAAGGGCTAGAGCTTCAGGCGAAGAGGCTTTTAATGAAAGTTGAAAATGCAGTCCTTGGTGCTGCTAGTATATCTCCTGGGGCAACCAGTGCTCAGTGCCATCAGATGCACCATCATTCCAAGGCTGATCGAGCTCATGACATTCTGGTAGACAGGGTGGTTAAAAATAATTATGGGTGTGTGGGGAGAGGGTCAAAGCCAAACATGTCCCCCTCAAAAATATACACACAGATACAAAATAGGTTTCAATTTCTGCAAAAATTGGGCATAAAACCCTGCCTACAATTAAAAGTAGTAATAATAAAGTGCCAATCCATTGCAGAAATAGAAATTTGACAAATGAATATGCTTGCTGGCATTGGCCTTGCCAGCACTTGGAACAAATGAAATACCCTCGGCTTTCCTGGAACATTTTGGTGGCACATCGCAGTGCTGTTCCACAAAATGAGTGATTTAACTGTCATCTTTGCTAAATAAAATGTGGCTCTCCCTAATTCTCTCAGAAAACCAAGACATGACCTGGAGTTTGCAAACTATGTGAATGTGTACTGCATCTGCCTGAGTTTAGCTACAAAATGAAAGGTCTTTCAAAATCTGTTTAGGAAAAAGTTGGGGTGGAGGGGGATTCTTTCAGTTGACATTCTGAGGAGAGCTCAGTGGTGTGTAAGAAAACCGGAATTATCCACAGAGTTACAGAAGGCAGGAACAAATTTGAAAATGGGCCAGAAGGACTTCACCGTGTGAACTTTTCTAATTTAAGCAGATTATTAGTATCAGTCTTTCACATGTAGCACTGAGACAGCATGGGCAACTCAGAGAACATGCCAGCTCTTCCTGGGAAGTACAGGTCAGTACAGGCAGGCCCACTTGCCTGGGGATGAGTCCAGCCCACGTCCCTGGCACTTGATGCACTAAGTGCATTTCTCCCTCTTGCTTCTAGAAAATGCTTAGTTTTAGACCAGTGGTTCTAAACAGGAGCTGGGGCAGGGTGAGTTTGTCTCCAGGGATCATTCAGCAATGACTACAGACAATTTTGGTTGTCACCACTTGGGGGTGGGTAGGTGCTACTGGCATCTACACACCAAGAATGTTCTGAGGACACACAGTTGTATCTGCATCTTTACTTAGAATTTCATCATTACTACAAGTTTTAGCCTTAGAAATCACACATGTGCTTGCCTTCAAGTGACCAGCCTAATATTCATAGGTTCCATTTTTTTATGATATACTTAACTATGTCATTAAGGAAAAATCACAGTTTCCTTAGAGGTTTGTTGGGGGTGGTTGTACTGTTTCTTACAATAAATGTGGTCTGTAATAAATAAGGACGCCATGCTATTAAGATAAAGAATTAGTTCAGTTCGTGTTTTTCCAGTTCCTCAAAATCTGTGATCATAACTGAGGCCAGATGACTTAAAATAAATAAATGTAGCTTGCAACATACTGTTGTTTTCAACATATCCTTAAAAATAAATGCAATTAGGTTAACTGAGCAGGGTGTGACCATCAAAACATGGAGCACTTTGGTGCTAGACACACTTAACCTCAAACCGGCCTTAGTACTGAGTGAGCAAATTACCTAATTTCTCCGAGTCTTAGTTTCCTCCTAAAACTGGAGGCAATGGCATCAAATTTATAAGATTATTATAAAGATTAGCGATAATGTTCATTAAGTGCCTAGATAACGGGTGCCCCATAATTTATAGAAATTAGCAGAGAAACTATGATCTCAGTGTTTTTCAAGCTGACCTTTTAATTTATTTTATTTCACTGCACAAAACATTGTTCAATCAATGTTGTTTGTTTATGGGTTGCCTAAATGTCTCCCAGGCTGCTTCAATCTTCTCATGCATGAGGACCTATTAACAAATGTGTCATATCAAATAACTTGCCCCAAAGACCATGAGCCTCCAGAAAAAGAAAAAATCCTAAGCTGCCTTTTCTGTCGTCCCCTCCCTAAGTATATAGTCACAAAAGGGCATGTCATAAGCAACATAAAAGTACAAAATGCTTTCAGCGTCTTATGCAGAGGAAGCTCCCTGTCTTCTCTGTGTACTGACAGATAATGAATCAATGTAAGGCGGTCAAAAGGCTTTTTGACTGGCTTGCCCAAAATGGGCATTCCCTCAGGCCCCTAGATAAATGGTGATTTCCAAGACAATCTAGGAACAGCTATAATAATTCACCTAGAAATTCAAAAGCCCTCAGCTAGAGAGATAACTTTGGATTTGAAGGCATTACTGACTTACTGCATCTCTTCTTGGGCCTGCACAGGAGGATCACAGCCTAGCCAGGAGGAAAGAGAGCTGGGATGATTCCAAAGACTCAATTCCTGATCTAGCTTAACCAGCCAAGAAAGGAATAACCTTGGGCAAGTCTCTTTACCTTTATGACCTTGAGTTTTTCTATCCCTAAAATGGGAGGGAAGATAGCTGGCCTATCTCCCTTAAAGATTTCCTTGAGAGGAAAGTAGAACTAGAAACATTGGGAAAAACACAAATGAAAGCTGCTACTATGATCTTTGTTAATATTACCTTCCACATCAAATTGACTATGCAAGTTCCAGTTAGCAGGTGAATTTCTTTCTTGGGCCTCAGAGGTAGGGGAGGGGTGGCAGCTATGCAACTTTCAGAACTTTTAGTTTCCCCACCTACTCTGCACTTTTTTCCAGCCAATTGTCAGCAAATCAGATGCCCCCTATCCCTCCCCACACCTTACAGCACTGGAATTAAATGTCTTATATTCACAAATCTGGCAAGTCACATTCTCCCTAGAGCAGCATGAGATTTCAAACTGCCCTTCACACTCCTGGCAGCAAAGACAACATACAAATCAGTGGTTTCCACTATTTCAAAGCAAATGACTCCAACTGAAATGATCTTTACCTAGGATTTTCCTCTACTTGTTGTGTTTTTATGCACAACTTCTTATCTGTACTTGATTATGCTGGAATAAGGCTATGAATATTAATGGTTGGAATTTATAATTTAGTGCTATGCCTTTTCTGCTGATTAATTCAAGGACATTTTATTTCTTAAGAAGCTAGGTTCCTGGAGTAATCAAACACATTTTCCTGGACACTCATTTAAACTTAGAATATTTATCTACCAATTCAAGTTAAAAGTAGGGTCTCAGCCTCGCCATAATTTTTGTCTTAAAGGATAACTATGTTGGATGTTGAGGTGGCTAAGCTTAAATTGCTCAGGAAAACTTATTTTGAGTCTTGCAATAAAGCCAGGACTCCTTGCAAATTAATGGAGTTGTATTAAATAATGTATAATGTGATTATACCCCAGCTTGGACTTCACCTGTGTAGAAAATAGGAGCCTTTCTAATTGATTTGTAACTTGGCTATAAAGCCAGAAGGGGTCAAAATTGGATTGCCAACTCACCTTGCTCCTGCCAGTTCAGAGAAAGGCAAACCCTTTACAAAAACTTCCTATTGCTAGAGAAAAGTAGTAATCAGAAGGTTATAGTTAGGGTTTTCCCAAGGCTGAGAGACCCATTAGTCATGATTCAAATTCCCAGGGAAGCCTTCAATTTTGGTGTAATGCTAGACATTCCTAATTAGGTGCTCCAAGTGTGACAATAGAAGACAACCACCAAGAAGGAGCAGAGAGAAAGAAGGAAGAGAAAAATTGTACAGATTTAAAAGAAATAGAAAAAGGAAAAGAGAAGGAAGGAAGGGAGGGAAGAAAACTGAGAAGATTTGAGGAAGGAGAAGAAGAGGGGAAAGAAAGAAGAGACCACCTGCAAGTAAGAGAAGACCAAAAAGAGCCCAAAAAAGAAAAATGAAAAAAAAGAATAAATGTGACAGCCACCACAGGATACAAACATGCCATCTTGGATAGGCAAAGATCGACTATTTATAAAGCTTGAGTAAAAAAGTGTTCTGTTTTACATGCGTGTTCATTTGTTTGCTTGCTATCATCAAGATATTGAGTGAAAAGAAAATGCTTACTTTAGAAAGCTCTTTCTCAAACTTCTGAGAAAGATAGTGAGCTGTGAACTCCAAGCGCTCCATTTTCTCCACAGGAAAGGTGGTATCTGGCAGGGAAACCGAGCACTGGCAGATCCCCCGGTCATTAACGGAGCCGGTGAAATTGGACAGCTGTAAATAATAATAAAGTAAACATCAGTAATAAGCTGGAAAATGAGGTTTTTTGGCAACAGGAATGACAAATTGGCTTGTCCAAAGAGTACTGGGAGACAAGCAACTGAAGTCCAATACACAAATGACTAGGATTATAAGAACGAGCCAAATTGCATCCCCACCTGCTGAATTAAGTCACTGCGTCAGTGGCCTTTACCAAAAGGATTCTCCATTCTTGAGGAGTCTCTGTGTGGAGAAAGGGAAGTAAAGAAGCAATGAGAGTCCTAAGTTTGAATGTCAATTCTATCCCTTACTCCATGTGATATCTTCTTAAGTCTGTTCTTCCTCTGTGAAACTGATATAATCTGGTCACAGAGTTTGTCCTCACAACTAACCAATATGAGCCAAGCCCCTGGCTCTGGTAGGTGTTACTGTCACTTTCTCTTTCTTTGTATTACTTGTTTTCTTCTGCTCACTATTATCCCAACCCCAATCCAATTCCTCCCAACTGGAATAAGGAAACCATCAAGGATGTGGGCTACAGTGAAAATATACAATCCAAATTCATATCCCCTCTTTAGCTGGGAAATTGTGTAAATAACATTCTTCAGAATGGAAACAAACCAGCCATTTATTTAAAACTGAGCAGTCTATGAGTCTGGAAATTTTGTGCAAATTTTTTAAGTAAAAGGTCGCCAGCTTCCCACTTGCAGAAAAGTCATTTTAAAATATTTGATGTTTCTTTAAGATATTCAGGCTCACACTTCAGTGCTGCTGCATATTTTAAAAGACAAGTTTGAAAGATCCTGTTTTTCTTTTATACCCTTTGAACTACCCCAAGGGAATCCTGGCACAATTAACATTTTTTTATTGCTACTTTCGCCTTACAGAGTAACTCTTGGCAGCCAACTGGCTGTGCCTTTTAATGATCTCATCTGAAGACCAGCCCAAAGCTCACCTGTGGAGCATCAGCCTGAAGGGACTCATTTATGAAACTACGAAGGAGAGAGAAGTGGTTTTCAGAGTCTGAAGAGACTCAGGCCACGTGTCTCAAAGTTCAAGTCAGCAGGCTATAGCTGAGCTTGTGTGCTGTGTGCATTTAACATCTACAACCTCTAAGACTCCTAAGCAAGGTTGGCCTAGATGCTTCTATAATAAAGACCTAGCCCATCAGTGACCTCAGAGCCAAGTAATGATCTTTCAATTGTTGTTTTTGCTTTTTAAATTTAGGCTAAGCTTCTTTAAGATAAGCAGGAAGGAAAAAAAAATATGTGTGTGCCAAAAGCTCTCTATGCCAGGTAAAATTCTTACATGGGCCTTAACTTTCTTTGCCAACTACATTCCCACACCTATAGGAATTAGGGAGTAAGGAAGAGGAATAAGCAGATTTATGCTGCATATGGGGTAAGGGGTGGGGTGGATAGGGGAAGGGTCTTTGCCAGGGAGGAATAAGGACTGGATAAGATATACCAGGAGCCTGTCTAAGAGGGTGACTTCTCTTGGATCTAGTTCTGCTACTCTATCTAAAGATAGAAAGTCTCCAGCTTAAGCTTGCCAAGTCTTTCATGGGAAAGACCAATGCATCATAAGACTTTTGAAGAAACAGTTTATAATAACTGTCTAGCAAAAAAAAAGAAAGAAAAAAAGGAAAATCTTGCATTACAATTGACAAGGGGAGGTTAATTAATAGCAGCACAAGACAGAGATGGACTGTTCTTAGAGTTCTCTGAAGAGCTCTATCAACTCAGGAAGCAGTGGATATCATCAAGCAGTCTCTAGACAATCAACTAGGACCCACTAGCTAACAACTTTTAGTCTTGAAGTTCACCTGAAAGACAGGAAAATAATTATGAGCCCTACTGACAGCCATTCCACTGGCTTCTATTAAACATCTCTGTCCCAACGCTATGGACTCCCAGCTTCCATGCTGCTTATCACCAGCCCAGCATGCTCAGCTGACATCAAAATGGTCCATAAGTTTGATCAGTGTCTCCCATTAGAGATATTTCTGCTTCTCGAATTCAAAGACAATGAAGCTAACGGTGATGAGTCTCTCTCTGTGGTGAATGCTTAAACTCTACGTAAGTGTAACATGGGAAATGAGAGACAAAGACAAGTGCTTGTCCCTTTGGCCTTTGGAAGGATACACGATCTCCTCCCCCTCTTTGTGGAGGGCAAATGGGACCCTACATGACCACAAAACACACTATAGTGCCAAGTTCCCACTCAGCATATGCTCAATTAACATGTACTAATGTCTGCAACATGCCAAGCTCTAGCATTAGAAAATGATTAAGACCAAGTCCTGCCCAGGAATCAGGGCCACTGTTGTTATTAAAGCCACAGTGTTTGTTTTTGGTTTTGTTTTTTACTCCAACAGCCCCATAGCTTCATAACAAAAGCACATGACTTGTCCTGACTGTGCCAGGTGCTGTGTGGAGTGGAGCACTGAGCCTTTTCCACATCTGTGAAATGAGAAACCCAAAGCAGCCCCCTTTTTGGAGCCACATAGAGTGTTCTAAGCCTGGCAGCAGAAGGTGAGACTCACATTTGTGATTTAAGGCTTTGATTGGCTCTAATTAGCAGCAAAGTCTAAGTGCCCACAAAGATTCAAGGCATAAAATAATGGTACTCAACATTTTGAAAGTACAGAAAATGATACATTTGGAACTTACTAAATGACAGTTGTAAAAGGGTTTTCCACCACTTTCCAAAGAGCTCCTCAAACTGATAGTCAGTCCAAGAAAGTTAGGTTTATAGTGGAATTGACACCTGGACCACTATAAAAAGGAGGTTGGAGCTGTAATTCTGACTCACCACAGGGAGATAAGGAAACTAGGAAGGAAATCAAAACCTCTAAGTACTATTTAAGTACCATTTCTTATCTACTTTTAAATATTTGTCTTCTTACCAGACAATAGGCATTTTGAATTCTTCTGTTCTTGACCCATATTTTATTTTCTATTATTTTAACTGATTATCTTACTCAAATGCTGGAATTTTTATTGGTGGTGAAGTTTTATAACAAATTATTATTGTTAACCTCACTTCAAAAAAAGAAAAAAGAAAGACACCCAATTCTTATTGTCCCCAGAAATCATTCAGTATCATGGGATAAAATCGCACATCTGATTTCAGGCTACAAAGAATCCTTGTGCATATTTATAATTTTCAAAACGGTCTCTTCACCAGTACCCCCGGAAATACAGAAAGTTGCATGAAGATGGTATCCACTAAAGAGCCCTGAAGATGAGTTAAAACCTGGATGGAATAACTGAATTAGCTTGAGCTAACGGATTTTGAGTTATATAACTTGCCAGCTTAGTGATTTCACCTCAGTAAGCCTCAGTTTTAATATCTCTGGTATGGGACCATTAAGTATACCTAACTTTTGCTACTGTTTCCCTTTGGGCCCTGTCCAAACCATTTGGTAATCACCACATCTTCATTGTCTGCATATTCCTGCAATGAAAACAAGCAAACAAAATCTCTCCCTTCCCTTGTCCCATTTGCCCTTCCATTCAGACATGCTTGTGGAAGCAGCTAGCTGACCGGTGAGTAAATATATCAGAAGTGCCTGCCTATTCTCCTTCCTCTAAAGGAGATACAAAGAGGGCTCACTTCCCCCAAGAACTGGGCTAACTGTAGCTTCTACATAGGAAACCCCTCTAGACTGATCTCTTTGGAATGTGTGGTTGGTTTCATTGGCTTATTTTGTTGTCATGGCTGTTTGGTGATGGAAATGGCCCTAGAGAGTCCCTATAAAGAAGACTGAAGAAAGTTAACATTGCCTCAGGACATGTCCACATGTGGTGGCATGTTCCCAAGACTCATAACTCCTCCCTTTACTTGTTACCCATCTTCTGTACTAACTAGGTACAGAGAAGCTTCCAGATTCCCACTGGAACATTGAGGTTCTCGCTCTCGAGGCCTCTTGTTCACCCTCCAAGAGGTCCCTTCTGAACAGCAAATCAATCGAACAAATTGTTGTGGAGCTGCAATTTGCAGGCTCCATTCCTTAACAGCTCCCATCCCCGAGTGCATATCAGAATCACCTAGGGAGGAACAGTTTTTTTTTTTAATATCTAATTTTTAAATACCTGTGCCAGGTAGGACCCAGGCATTTGGATTTTTAGCATCCCCCTCACCACTAATATAGCCTAGTTTGAGAACCTCCTTAAGGCATAGAGAACTAAGATGTTGTCTTGCTAACAATTTAATTATTTCACTTAGATTTTAATTCATTTCCAGGGCACCTATAGTGAACAGAAAAACCATAAATCTCTTTGAGTGCCCAGGTCTAGCCATCTGTGAAATTGCATTCAGTGAGAAGAAGGGAATGAAGCTAGCTCACTCAGGCTCTGTGGCCTCCTCACCTGGGGCATAGCACCGCCTGCTGCCCAAGAAGTAGACACTGGTGCTACCCAAGAAGTTGTAGCTGGTTTTGGATGCTGAGATGAAGCCGAAGTCAGGGAATCCTTCAATGAAGCTGAAACTGTAGTCAGGAAAGAGCCAGCAATCAGAGTCCCTGAATCAGGGTTGAGGAAGAACAGAAGCACCAGCAGGAAGGCAAGGCCCCGCCTCATCTTGTCCTCCCAGTTGAGCCACTGACTTCTGCCCAGATCCCAGGGGCTTCTTATTAGCACCCAGTGGGGATTTCCCCATGGCCAGTTTGTGAGGAAAGAGGAAGCAGCTGGGGAACACATGACCTTCTTCAGGAGGGTCAAGACACCAGAAATCTGAGTCATGTCCACACCTTGCCACTGAGAGCCCCACTCTGTGACCTTCCCTTAGATCTAGATTATCCCTGCCAAATATTAACTCAAATGTGCCACTTCAAGCCCAATATCTGGTTTCCAACTTGTTACTTCCTTGAAAGAGATGGGATCAAAGTAGTCTTTGTAGATGTGACAGTTTGGAGGTTCCAAGAAGGAAAACAATTCATGGTCCTTTGCCTAGAAGCCACCTCTAAATGACCTCTCTCACTTCACCGAATGCTGCTTTCCAAAAAAGGAGGGCTTACGTTAGAGACTGTGAATCTTGCCTTCCTGGGGCTGTCTGAATCTTCCATCTTAAGAACCCACAGTCCAGGTTATCTCTGACTTGTCCCTTGTAATGTCTGCTTCTAAACAAGTTCTCTCAACAACCTCACTCTGAAGATGAAAACAGCAAGGCTTAATTCTCTGGGAATCCAGACAAAAGTCTGTACTATGCAGCACTCATGTAAGCCTGATGTAGTAAAGAGAAAGAACACAAGCAAGCAGAATCCCCAGTACCCGCTCCCCAGCTCAGAGTGCTGCTTCCCATCCAGTCAAAGAGGCTCTAGGGGAGCAGTGTCTCTCTGAGTTTGTCTGCCTGACCTCTGTTGTCCCTGACCTGCTTGTGAGCTGGCCAGGCACTGAAGACTAAGGCTTATTCTTCATGCAGGTGAGAAATAGGATGTCTTCTCTCTCACCAAGCTGCCTTGATCCTGGGCTTCAAGCTCCCTTTTTGTCTCTCAAACATTGTACACACCTTTGTGACTCTGTTTTCCTCCCTGCCGAGTGCAAAAGGTGTTGGCCTGAATATTAAAACTGAGCTCTCTCACTTGTGAGTTGGTGGCGTTAGGTATGTCATTTAGACCCTCTAGGGTTCTAATAATTCTAAATTACTAGAATTCAATGAATTGTTACATGGAAAGTTGCTTATAAATTTTGAAATGCTATAAAAATGTTAGGGTATTTTTTTTTTGGTTTTATGTTTAATTTCCCAAAGTCAGCATCAATATATTAAGGTTGTGGGGTTCAAAATGTGGAAAGTGCACCCAGGCCTCTCTGCATCCCTACCCCACCCAGGATCACTTGGGAAGACCTGGTTTGAAGGGACCCTTCACAGCTTAACAAATTCTCAGAATAAACACAGTGCTAATGTGAGAGAGTCTTAAACCCTTGGAATACTATTCCAAGAGGGGGCAGGCAGGAAAAACACAAGTGGATGAATAGAAAGTGAAGGAAGGAGAAGAGCTGGAGGAAGAGAGAAACAAAAACAAGTTTATCTCTTTGGTTGGGCACTTCACACTGCCCCCGACTCAGAGGGCTGATGAATACCCGACCCAGACCAATCTCCGAACTTCGGGGTCCACATCGCCTCACTGCTCAGGCTCCTGATGCCTGTATCCACTCTCCACATTGAAACACACTTGTTGAGCCACCCAAAGGTGTTTTCTCAAACAATTTTATGCCACTTCATGTAGGTGCAACTAAAGGAGACTCGGGAAGGATAGGAACACTTTCCCAGAAGTTTTCTGGAAATAACAGGTCCATTATCTGCTCTAAAGGCAATCTGTGGTGAAGGTCAAGGTCTCACTGTTGAGGGATAAGAAATATATTTTTAAGTCCACACCCTTATATTCTCCTTATATAGTACTGTAAGATTTAGTAAATAAATATATAGGTGCCCAGTTTGAAAATTCTTATGTTTTCAATATGTAGCAAATAATCAATATTGACAAGATGCAAAACTAAAAGAGTAAAAAAGGCAACTAATGGAAACAAGTGCAAACTTGTGCAAATGCAGAAAGGCAACAACAGGAGTGTTGAAAGGTAGCAAATGCTAATTTTTTAGGAAAAAGAGAAATTTCACATCCTCCACAGAGGAAGGTCAGACTAGAGAGCTGCAATAGTACTCAGAAATATTTCCCTCAGTCAGGAAATACCACTATTACCACCACGAGTAATGGACTCAGAAGACCTGAAACCTCAGACCTATCTCTCTGTACTCCAGCAGATGGAGTCTGCCCAGAATCTAGAACCAAACACTGCCCCTAAATTCCTCTTGCCATCTCCTGACTACCTCATTAAGACACTCCTTCACTTCACTCCCACCATACACCAGAGTTATCTGCACTTCTTGGATATGGTAAATGCAAAGGATTAGGACCTACGATGATTAAACTTCCAATAAATAACAAATTAATTTTAATATAGGTATGTCCCATGAAACATTTGGGGCATACTTACTCTAAAATATATGTTGTCCATTTAATATTCAAATTTATATAAATACCCTATATTTTATCAGGGAAGCCTACTATTGAAGCAGAATGTAGACTGTGAAATTTGTTGTTCCCTTACTGGAGCAATTCAGTGTTGGCCACTTTGACCGAATGTTCTAGCCTCTTCAATGTCACCCCAAGACAGGGAAAGCAGAGGGCATATGTGAGAATGAAAATTGGCACACCAAATCCTTTATTCTGAGATTGAATGCTGTGAATATGGAAAGAGAGAGGAGCATGTTTTCTACCTCCCTTCTCTTCCTCCTACTTCCCACCAGAGCAAAGGGCAAAATCTGTTCTCATTTGCTGGAAGACTCTGCCTGTGACTATAATGAGCCTTCCTCGTCCCTTTTTTCAAGGAGCATGTTGGTGCCCTTGTCAGAAAAAATACAATCTCATTAACAATGGTCACCCGTTGTCATGACTACCTTTGAGGACTTCTATGGCCAACCAGCAGGCCCTTTAGAAGACCTTCTTACCAGAGAAGTTGTCCTCCTGCAGAAATGGGGCAGCAGTTCTCCCCAAAACAAAAGTGGCTTAGCCAGAAAAACCATCACCCAACTGTGCTCATAAGTGTCTCTGTTCCTGTATGCCTCCATAGTTTTCAGAATAAAACTTTAATCCGTTTGGTAACCTCAAATGCACAAAAGCATTGGTGATACTTCAGTAATGAGATTGTTAATAACAGTTTGATCAGTTCCTCTGCAAATACCTTTGTTCTAAGAAACAACAAGCCTTCTGTTATTTGACAGCCTCAAAGAGAGGAGAAACTTGTCAGGGCTGCAAAGCAACCATTGTTTTATTTATAAAAATGTTTTCCAACCCTGGGCTCCCGCTAGAGTAAGGGGTCACTGAAATTCACTTGACTAATATGGCATTCCTCCCTGACAGCCTGAAAGCTATTATTGATGCACTTCAGGAAGTAGTCCCCAAAGTTGTACTTCCTGAACAGGTGCAGCACACTGGAAAGATGTCTATATAGATATTGCTTTAATCCTCTGTCATTAAAAATCAATGCCAAACATACTGTGGTACTTTCAGAAAAGAACGCTTATGGGCATCATGCTTAGTGTATAAATTTTCAATCGAGGCTGTGTTGCAATGGCCCTTTTCATGTCATTTGACTATATCTCCTACAACCCTCAAATCTCTATTAGCAATACCAGTAATCACATGTAAAAAAAAAATCAATTCACACTATTCATTGATTCTGAAAAACAGTACCTCAGTTAACAATATGTTAGAGCCTACTCTGTGCCAAGTGTCAGGCCCTATGACGAGCTATAAAGAAAAATAAAGCTGGCTGTCAGTGGCTCACACCTGTAATCCTAACTATTCAGGAAGAGAGAGATCAGGAGGATCGTGGTTCAAAGCCAGCCTGGGCAAAAAAGCTCACAAGACCCTAACTCGAAAATACCTATCACAAAAAGGGTGGCGGAGTGGCTCAAGGTGAAGGCTCTAAGTTCAAGCCCCAGCACCACACACACACACACAAAAGCAAAAATTTGCTAGACATTTGAAATGTCTAGTCACTTAAGGATGACAGGCCACTTTAGGGAATATGCTAGGAATTAAAAACCACAAATTGAACACAGCATCAGTTGGATGACTACCAAGGAATGACTGGATAGGCTATGGTGACCCAACCCAGATAGGTTAATGTAGGAAAAATTCACAAGGTAGTAAACTTTCTAATGATGGAAACTATGGCCTCATCAATTTCAAATCTCCAGCACCTTGCCCAGGGCCTGGCACTTGGTGCCCAATGAGTATTTGCACACTGGAGAACATATTTAATAAATGAATGAGCACGTAAATGAACATGTCGATTTAACAAGAATTGTGAAGGAAATCTGTAGGTAACTATTAAGTAAAATACACATTGTTTAAACTAGTGTTGGATAAAAGGGAGGAAGTTCCAAATAAGAAAAATTACATGAGTAAAATAACTCAGGAAACCTGAAATCTCTCCAGAGTCATGATTATGCCTGTTCCCTTGCAGTCTCATGTCACCAACCCTCAAATTTTATCCTAGGATCAGAGCTCCTAACAAAGTATCTCAGCCTGGCTCAAAGGCCCAAATCAACATTCTAATTCCCTCAGCACTTCCTATCTCAGGCACTACCTAGACTTAGCCATTCCATCATAGTTTAGAACACTCAAACCCCAAATTACACAATTTTCAACCAGATGCTTATTTTTTTCAGTCTGCAGCAAAATCATCAATGTTGACAAAAGTGCAGACAGAACTAAACTAGTAAAGACGGCAACTAATGGAAATGAGGATAAACACTGAGCGGCAACTACAGACAGCAAATGCTAATTTTTTAGGAAAAAGAGAAATTTCATATCCTCCACAGAGGAAGTTCAGACTAATGATCTGCAATAGGGCTCAGAAGTATTGCCTCAGTCAGGAAACACTATTATCACCACCGGGGTGGATGGACTCAAGAGACACCAAACCTCAGGCTTATCTCTCTGCACCCCAGTAGATGGAACCTACCCAG